ATTCAAAATTTGAGCTATTCGCGACATTGGTGGCTGGTAGGCTTGGAAGAAATCTCCTCAAGGAATCTGAAAATTCTGAAGTGTTCTCCCCTAAGAAAGAGAACATCATATCTTTGTGGATTTGCATCAGCCTTAGGTTGAGGGAAACTTCACTCATTTCAATTTCATTTGAGGAACCGTTCCACTAACTCCGAGTTCCCGCCCTACGCAACTCCGATCATCAGAAAATTTTCAACTGGTACTTCATCCATAGGGGTAACTGATGATGCCTATAACGACAACGAGACTCATTTTCGGTTCTGAACGACATGTTGCACCATTTTTGCGCCAAAGTGGTGCGAATGCCTCTTCTCGAAAAATTCGATAAAAACTTGCATACAACCGTTATTGATAGTCTTATAATGAATGAAACACTCATTTTGGCTAGTGGCGCCAAATTGGCACCAAATGGCACCAACACTTTATCGGCACTAGTTGACGTCACCTCTCATAATAAATATGATATGCGTAATAAGGACCGCTCGATACAAGTTTTCACCAAACATAGATGTTGCACCAATTTGGCGCAAAAAAGGTGCAATTTGGGGCCTGTGGCTTATTCAAGCTTTTCATTAACAGGACTATCTTTAACCACACTTTAGTCAAGCTAGTTCTCGCTTTTTCGGCCGCATGCAGAAGGCGCGATTTCACGAGTACGCGCTATCGCAAGATACGGGGGCATCCTGTAGGACTGAAACTAGGAGGGTGCAGGAACTCCAGGAAAAATTGAAATTGCTCACTCACCCTGAAGTCTCTTCTCCCCAGCCTGAAGGCTCAGTCCCGTTTCAACAAAAAGAAATGCCCCACGTGGTCTAAAATGCGTTGGCACCGCTATGCCCCGTATCCTGCGATAGCGCCCTCGATGGTTTTTGGGAAAACAAAAAAATTGGAGCACCTAAAAGGAGCACAGCCATTGTGTAATTCTTGGGAAAATGCCGCTTACAGTTACATTCAGAAGCCACAGAATAATCGTAAAAAATCTAGAAAGAAGTCGCAAAAATATGGAAAAGATGAGCTTATTTTCCCAGAACAAAAACGGTGAAAGTTTTGGGACACATTCCGGGTCCTCGAGAAAGTTCAAGTCGAATTAAGCGAAAGCTTCAGAGGAGCAAAAAAGTGGCTTACCACGGTGATATGTGTGCTTTTGAGATCCTTTCGATTAAGTAGTGAATGAAGAGCCTTCCGTGCTTCGTCGTCCACGCTATCCATCTGACTTAATGCAACCACAACGGGTTTCTTCGTCTTGATCACATTAGACAGTATCGATGCCGACGTAGAACATTGGCTAAAACAACCATTCAAAGACTTTGTTAGAAAATAAGGAAAAAACATTGCAAATAAAGAAACAAAAGGCTATCCAACTTCACAAAGTAAACAACATATTTACAGAAGAGGCGCAGAAAAATTAGAAGCTACCTAAAAACGGCAGAAGAGAGACAACTTATGAGAAGGCTTGAATCAATTCTCCGAGTTACCTCTTTCCTTTTTTTTTTTCTGAAATGAAAGACCTTCGAAAAATATCCCGCTAAACTACAAGATAAGCGACACTCAAGGCAGGGTCCCAGCGCGGGTCGGGTCCTGTCGTTGGATACTTTTTGCAAAATTTTTACGACCCCCCTCCTTCACGAAAGATTTCATACGACCCCTTCTTCACAACTTTTTCCCCTCAAAAAACACCGTCGAGCGGAGGGGGGGTATACGCACGCTGAACGGCAAATTTTCTCCCGCGCGCTCTCACCTCATCACATGTAATTTCGTGCTACCGACAACAAATACGACCCCCTCCCCACCACAAACTTCAACAAACTACGACCTCCCCCCCGTTGGTAGCAGCAACGGTAGAGTGTCCTCTGGTCCCGAGCTCACCCCTCAAAACTGGAGTCCGCTATTAACACTTTGACGACAGCGCGGGACACATACGTCCCGCACTTTCACACGGAAGAGACTTGTTTTTCCTAAATTGTGCCTCCATTTTCATGCTTCAAGACTGGCCCTTCCTACTGTTGGATACGAAAAAATAGTTCTCTCGTTACCACTAATGAAATTATTGGTAATGTAGTAACTGTTAATGCAAATTTGTAAAATAAGGTGGGTAGGTTCGCGCACAAGGGCGTGTCGTCAACGTGTTAAATATTGGGTTGATGCATAATTATTGCGGCTTTGTTTCAACAAATTTATTCAAAGAAAACGATAGAGATATTTAACAAAAACACGTTTAAATGATTATTCCGGAGCGTAGACACATCCTTCAAGAACGCTTCCCATTTGCTTGGCAGTAGGTCGATTCCACGGGTCAAGAAGACACGATTCCTGGAGACGATCCACGCTCTAACCTCGGCCACCAAGTCACCCAGCTCGTAAATTTTGTTCGTTTGCCAGTTTTTCAACGACTGATTGAAGTGGCAGTCTGTAGGAGCTTCGGTCGGTAAATGTGACGTTTTGAACCTCTTGAGATGATTTTCGATATTGTATTCGAACAAAAAGGAGAAATATTTTGATGAAAAATGATAAACAAATGCCTAGATCTTTCGAAAAAAGACATCGCAAAACAAAATCCGCAATAATCATGCATCAACCCAATACAAGTAAGTTGTCCAGCACTGCAGAAGTTGCGCCATCTTCGTACATCGAAACTCGTGTTCGATATCCCATTTGCGTCGCAATGTTGGACTGCTAAGCCCGTTCTTCTCAGATTACCTCTTATACATACCTGCTTCTTGATTAGATACTCCGCAGCATGGAGCAAGAAAAGGCTCGTATTTCCTGTGTTTTGCATATTTTCATTTCCTTTTTTCTCCACTTGCAGTCCACCTCCCGCCCTACTTTCATATTTGAGTTGGACTACCACATCAATTTATCCCTGACCTTGCCTTTTCATTAGCCATCTTTACGCGAGAAGGGAAAATTCCAGAAGCATCTGCTAAGCGGGAAAAAGCAAAAACTTTGGCAAGTTTTCAGACCTTTCAAATGTTCGTCCATCGGTTTTGCTGGCGTCGAACACGTAGATGAACGCATCCACAGTGCATTTTCCGTCCGGCAGCACATGCTGGTCGAATTCAGCCTCGAGACCAAGCTGTTCCTAAAAAACACAGAGTTCATAGGATTTTCCCCAAAGCCATTACGCTGTACAGTATTGGAGTGCATTTGCACTTACAATTGGCTTTTAATGATTTGCATGACCAGCTCAAGTATGAGTTGCTCCACTCTTTTCCCAAACGAGTTTGAACTAATAGTCTACGTAGTGGAGCAAGAGGTAGGCTCAGTGAAATGAACTAAAACGTGGCTCGCTTGAAATCGCCGATCAAGCCACTACCTACAGTGCCAATATTTTGCTCACTGGTTAGTCCTGATCGTCGCCATACAAAACTAGAGTGACCTAGTCTAGAGGTATGCAGCGCCAAACATTCGACCATGTTTTGGAATCTCAAGGATTCTTGAATCCATCTTTGGGCCGCCAATAAATGCGTCGATGGATAGTATTCCTACGTATTCGAGACCATTAGCTGAAAGGCCGGACGGACTTGATCGCCCAGCGAAATATTCAGGATTGGATGGCACAGCACACAAACGCTGTACTGCGTCAGACTTGTTACGTCCCATCTTTCAGGTACCAGAGCGAGGGAATAAAACGCCAATCGCCTTACAATGTTTCACAAGAATGCTGGGTTGTGAACAAAACTTTCGCCCCAGGCGGGACTAGAACCCGCACCTCTCGCTTTCCGGGCAAGTGCGCTACCAGTTACGCTACCGGGGCACCATTTCATCCCAGCTCAGCTTTCGTATAACTTCGATACCACTCACATTGGGATAAAATGCGCCCCGGTAAGCGTAAACTGGTAGTGCCGGCTTGCCCGGAAGCGAGAGGTGCGGTTTCTAGCCCGCCTGGAGGCGAAAGTTTTGTTCACAACCCAGCATTCTTGTGAAACATTCGCAACGCGAACTGCGGCGTTAAAACAGCAGTTAACAAACAAAACAAGTCAAAATACATTTACATCTGAACTAGGGAAGCCGCACCATCTTCTTACTCTTTGTAATGTCATAGCTTGTCCCTTGACCTTTCAAGGCGGATCTGGCAGCACCGCTTAGCATACAGGCTCAAAGGTGGAAGGGCCTGCGATAGGCTCGTACGTCTCATCGTCCAAAAATTCTGAAAGAGAAAAATGCTCAATATGTAAGTCTATTGGCTTGAACTTCTCGCTATCATAAACTACAAGAGCAGGACCAACCATGCGACTGAGTATGCCTTTTATCTCAAATACATATATTATGGGAGGTGATAAGATAAACTGATTTTTTTATGACAATAAAATAGAGCTGCTAACCAGGAAGGTCTTTCAGGACATGGAGCCCTTTTTGAAAACGGTTTTTTGCATGATAAAGGGGCACATGCATGGAGTACAAAACTAGGCTCCATTTTTTCTGAGCGGCCCTGTGAGTGCCAAAAAAGGTATGAAAAATTGGTCGAGGGATCGGTCCCGGCTGATGACAAAATTTTGCATTTCATGTTAGCGCATGTTAAATGACTCCAAATGTTACGCCGATAAAAATAGGTACTGTTCTTACAATCAGGGTCATCATCAACCTTTCTGATTAGCTTTCTGCCCAGAATTGGGGCGAAAATTGTATGGCGCTAAAGCGGCGCCGAGTTGGTGCCCGAGGAGGCTAAAATGGCACAATATCGCGCCTCCATCAAAAATGGACGTCAGATTCGTAATCAGCGCCTATAATTACCCTTATAGCCGCAGTTTTAGAGAAGATCAAGATTTCGGCCCGAATTCAAAAATTGGGCCATGGGTTAGCCCATAGTCAGTACGGCATGCACGCTTCCCACTTGAAGACAGCTTCGAGATGATAGCAAGCGACACGTTTGGTTGATAGTTACACTTCCACCGCAGTTCCTGCCCATGGGGCAATCTGGCATCACCCCTTGATCTCGTCGATGCATGGCGTATGCCTGGGTGGGCACTGGCACGTCGACGAGCATCCTGGACGTTCCTCAACGCCGGCAATCTGCCTTCAAGGGAAATGGAGTAGGTGTTCCTTGCGAAGAAAATGGCAACTTCACTTTTCTGGCGTTCGTTAGATGCAGTTGGTGTGATCTGCGCCTGTGATTCAGATGCTTCATTGAGTTTTACCATAACTGCTAGTTATTTATTGCTTGTAAACGGAATTTCGTACACAACTGAAAAAACATGGTACTACGAAATATCGCAGAATTGTGGGAGAAAGTTCTTGGAAATGACACCTATAGGCTTTAAGTTCACGCGCAAGCACATGCAAATGCAGAAAAAGTGATAATCGGAAAAATGCAAAAATCCGAGCATGGAGGGGAACCGAACCAACAACTTCGAACAAACCGTGCCAACCAGAGTCCATCACGCTATCCACTCGACCATCCGACCACCGCTGTACACGAATGTCAACGACTCTGATGAAACTTCCTTGTGCTTTTGAGCACTTATTATATACAATTTTTGGTATTGGCTTTATTCCACGCTGTTTTCAACGTTCAGGTGAAGAAAACCTTCTATTGTGCGTCCACTTAACATACCGAGTGATATAAAGAACGTTGAAGGTGTGAAAACTCCGATTTCTGAAGAAATTTTTTTTTTCACTCCTTTTTTGGCATCCAGAGGGCCGCTCAGAAAAAATGGAGCCTAGTTTTGTACTTCATGCATGTGCCCCTTTATCATGCAAAAAACCGTTTTCAAAAAGGGCTCCATGTCCTGAAAGACCTTCCTGGTAAGAGGTGTAAATCTGCGAGCTCTCCGAGTTTGTAAACGGCCGCAAAACCCCTAGCAGGAGGGTTCCGCGTTGATTTCCGAGTTCTAACGCCTTGTGCACTCAGGTTGACTTCAATCATATGCTCATGCTCATGCTCTGCTCTGCTCTCTGCCAAAGGAGTTAGGTTTGACGGCGAGGGTCCAGCAGCTAAGCTAAACAATCGGAGGGACAAAAGCGTTAAAGGGCCATCGTTACTTCGCTACGTGCGCAACCTTCACCGCAAAAGCGCACCTGTTCGTATAACTTCTATTGGCCGATGTCAGACTTTGCGAATCGCGCGATTCGCTAGCGTCTGCGGTCGCGTCGCGGCCAGTGAATCACTCAATTGGCTGGTACCGCAACGCGACCGCGGACGCTAGCGAATCGCGCGAATCGCTAGTAGCGAATCGCGCGATTCGCAAAGTCTGACATCGGCCTTAGTAAGCGCCTAGAATTTTTATACATACAATTTGTTGTGTCACTTGCTTCCTGAGAATTGAATATTTGAAGACAAGCCGTATAGAAAAATGATTTTGGCGTATTCAGCCTATATTTAAAGACTCCGCGAAAAATTTACCTGTCTGCTCGATTACCCGTATCGTCACCGGACTGGAAGCATCATCGAGACTCACTTGGCGTTCACCCCAATAGAGCCAATGATCGTTGTTAATTACCGGAGAGCCGCCGAAGTCGGTCTGAAAGAATCGGAGATACTTTGCTTTGTGAGAATAAAATGACAAAAAAAACAGTGTTAAGGGACGACCGATTTACAGGAAGCACTACGTATTCCACTTCCGCTGGGAATACTAGAAGCATGTGCTCTTATAACGGGTCCAAACAATGATTTTCAGGGGAATATCGGTGGTCCCTCTGTTTATTGCGTGTTCCTGAAGTTCTTGACAAATGTCACTCTTTTCCACTGGCTATTCATCAAAGTTTCCCACGCATTCTAGTCTTTCAAATTTGGCCAAACCACCGTCCATGACCCTCTTGACGGTCTATTATACTCGTGTAGGCATATGACAGTTGGTGAATGTTGGTGGGAACTTGAGGGCTACATAGTACTTGACCCTGGTCGCTGCAAAGTTCAGCAAAAGAGCGCTAGCGCGCCTTGTTGGATAACGATCAGCTCGTGCGAAACGTTTAGCGTCTAGGTACCAATTAAAACGAGCAATTACGAGGGTAGTTACGAGCTCTCTTTGGGAATTACTTACGTGAATGTGCACCCATTGAACATGATATTAGTCTGCAGACTGCTACTCTCTTTGAAAACGTCAGAAAGATAGATGATCAAGCAGAGTCGGGAGAACTCAACCCTTCCGTTCAACCTTAGGTTAGGTTACAGATCAATGGCACGGGTTTGAGCCATATAGGTCCATTAACTAAAGTTAACGTAAGACGTGGAGGTAGGGTTAGAACTATAAAGAGAAGTTTTAGCGTTGACCAAAAAACTTCGGGATACGCACAGCATTCCACTTCAGCTTGCACTCCCAAACATCTGACATGCAATCTAGCCCTTCTTACAGCAGAAGGGGCAGAAGTGGTGTGGTAGCAAGTGGCGCCGCTTCCCACGCGCACGGTCCGATGGTCAAATCCTGGGTCGTGAGTCGCCCGGGCCAACCAAGCCTTCCATCCCTCCGGGGTCGGTTAATTGGTACCAGACTTGTCTGGGAGGATAAAAACACTGACTTGTACATCGGCTGGCCCCCGCAAGTCATTGTATAGGCCACATCGCATTCAAATGCCACCACATTCTGTATAGAAGTTGGATACATGGCGCTTTTTGAAAAGGTAACGATCCAGCCGAATGCGTTATCCACGTCTTTTAACAGTACGAGATGACGTTGATTTCGCAACTTTATCTTGACGAAAAAAGTGTACAAAAATACCCTAAAATCCCATAGATAAGAGCGGTCCATAGATATTTTTTCAAAAATAAAATAAAAATAAAAATATTTTTTCAAAATCATTTTTTACCGGTAAATTAAACCGCTCTTATCTATGGAATTTTACTGATCGAATGGGCTCTTCAAGTTCTATCCAGAGATCAAATTCCGGCATTTCTAGAGAGATTCCGGCAGAAATTCCGTTAAAATCGCTATTTTTCTATATGAATTGTTTATTAAGTGGGCGGGGTTTAGAGTTGAGGGACGGAGCTTCTTCTAAACTTCTTCTCCGATTTTTATTTATCCATCCATCAAGTTAGAGGGGTGACTGCATTCAATTTCAATTTCATTCCAATTCATTTTTCACCGGTAAATTAAACCGCTCTTATCTATGGGATTTTAGGGTAGTTTTCAAGGTGGAACATTTTTATGGCGAGCGAGCTCGTGGTATACTCATAAGAATGAGGATAATAGCGCTAACGCCATTCTATTCGGCGGCCCGTCCACGATTAATTTTGATTATTGATGTATATTCCAGAAAAAATCATCTACAAGCAATGAGTCGTGAGAGCGATACAAAGGGGTACACTGCTTTCCGAAGGTTAAAAAACACTGGATGTGATTTGTCCGCGTTTTGGGACGCGCCATGCACATGACTTCCGTATTGGATCGCAGAGACATTCTGGATAAGTTGCTGGCTTTTACGGTGCACTAAACGGGTAAATGTCACCGCTTTAGTCTCCCACACAAGTTCACTACCAAGAAACGGATCTATTAGGATGGAAAACCACAATGAGCTATCCAGAGATTCGATCCATGGAACATGGACGTATGGCTAGGTCACGTGCTCATTCACAAGCTTTGTTCTATTCTAATCGTGAACTATCACTATTTCCAAATTTACAAAATGCTTTTATTAGAAACAGCTTACCACCCTATAAAAGCTACATCGCCCGTTTAGAGGCCGAAAAAATGAGCGGCCGGATGTCGCGTGATTTCTGGTCTGTCCTAACGATATTTGTAGCGCATTGCCAGAAACGACGTCAGCCAAACAAGCAATTTAGGACTGCATCCATGACGTCAACATTGGAGAAAAATTCATGATAATGGGGTCAAAAGTAGCTTAAGAACTGCTGGAACGCGTTCAACTTAGTTTTTTTTAATTGTTTCCACAACTGAGATGAGCTCAAATGGAAATTAAATGGCGTGTGGATTTTCTTCGCTGAAGCTTTCGCCAACTAGTGGGAAACTATGTGATTTTACTTGATTCTCTTTGATTATAACAGAACTGTTGGAAACAGAATCACTCGTAGGTTTTTTCGTTCGAGTAATAAGAAAATTTCACGGTGCAGTACCACTGTGGCCGTTACGATAGGTTGCTTTTCTTGGAAGGGGAGAAGCGCTTTCTTGAGAGACGACAGATGTCTGATACTAAAAGTTGACCGGATGGGACAAATTAAGAGTTGAGCTTTGGCAATCAACATCCAGACATGTCGGTAACGTTAGTCTGTTCATATAATGATCACAATGATGACCAAGCATTTATGATGACCTTCGGTATGCTTTAAAAGTTCATTTTTTCATTTTTAGTTTTCATCATAGAATTTTCATGTGAACTGCGCTCTAGCAGCCTGAAGATGCCGATGGAGCCTAATACCACCATATTCCGGCTATGATTATGAAGGCGTAGTTACGAATAGAAGGTAGCCCATTAAAATCGACGATATGGTGGTCGGCGGTCCAGAACCCAGGAAATGGGACCCCTTCTTGCTCGTTGATTTCCGCATTGATGCGACTCTCATCGGTGCTGCCCTCTTCAACGCTAACGCTCTCTCTGCTAACGGCTAGAGACCTGCGGCGAGTGGTTAGCCAGTCGGTGGGCGTGCCGCGTCGATAGCGCCGCGGGGACGGCCATGCTAGGTCGCCGGGCATATCCTTCGCTGCGAATTGCGTGTCGGTCCGCACCCTTGGGGGTTCGTCTGCCTTTCCGTTAGGTAGTCTCCCCATCTTCAACCTTCAACCTAGTCCTCCTTTGAGTACACAATCCGCGATTGAATAGGTTTACGTTGCGACCGAAAATGGAAGTAGTTGAGGCGATTGGTGTATCAGAGATGAGAGAAAGCAGAAAACTGCCGAAGTCACATCGCGGCCGATCGTGGGGCGGGGTTTGCGTCGCGCCTCTACTTAATCCCATTGCTTGGCCTAGTATCTTCGGCCTAGCAGCCATTTGAAATTCAGTTCAAATTCAATTTAACCCGCGATTCCGAGGGAATCATAAGAACGGCAACAAGTTCTATCGTATTTACCTTACTCTACCATATCAGAGGAGTGGCTAATTAATGAGACTACCTCTAGGGCGGAGCACAAACCCCGCCCACAGCATCGGCGCGTAATGAGTTTTGGGGTTCTTGACATTATTGTTCGCCCTTTTTGGCACTTCTTAACCAATGACCGCATCTACTTTTATTTTCGAGCGTGAAAACCCGTACTATTCAATCGTGGAACATAATTGTAATTTGATGAAGCAAAACCATCCATGATTAAAAAAGTCAGACATGAATAAAAGACTATGCCGACTGGTGTACCAACAGCTGTCAGAAGATGTATGCAGATGAAAAAAAACTCGCAAAAAAAGGATGACAAGTCAAAAAAATGAGAAAAGGAGAAAGCATCTTGTTTCATAGTGTATTTTCAAAGACAAAGTACAATCAAATGTTGACTCTCACGGATTCGTAGCCCCTTTTACGTTAAATTCACCCATTCACGTTTTCTTACAGCATAACAAACATTCGAAATTCTGCCCTAAAATTCAATTTCGTTCGCGATTTCGAGGAAAATCACTAGAACGGCAACAAATTTAAGTCAGATTTCATTTTATGAAGGCACACAAGACGTTCTAACACCACATCTCACCCCAAGACGAAGTGGATCAAGCATCGGTGAAACATTTGCTTGAATTTCTGTTTGCTGACAGCTGAATACTTACAAAAACCGCACGAAAAACTTGAACTCAGTCCTTTGAAAGCGCTTCAATTTGATGCTCCCATCTGCGCTCTCTCGCCTAAACAGCGGCTCCGACTACTATGATCTCACTTATTCCTTCCTCGTGGGCACTGTAATAAATATGAAATATTCAAAGTTTTGCCAAAACTAATATTGGTCACCCAACCGGGAGTACCTTCCCGCCAATGGCTCAGTTTAACGCTTCAAATTCTCTTGGAATATGGAGCGAGCGTTCTCTTCTCTTTCTGCAATTGTGGCAGCATTGAAGAACGTTCAAGCAAGCACATTTCATCACAACTTCCAAGAAACGATCAAATCAAATAAGTAATGTATCGATCGCATCAACACCTAACGTTCTTATTCTCCTTCTGGTACGGAGGGTAAATTAGGCAGATGATTCACTACGCCCGATTAAAGGTAAGGTATCGAGAGAACCTTAAACCTATGCTTTTGAGGTGCATGTTAGGAAGTCTTTTTGGGAGAAATGTGTCGGACGAATTTTTTTGCTTCCCTCCTTTTTTTTTTTTCCCTCCCCCCCCCCCCCCCCCCCCCCCCCCCCCCCCCCCCCCCCCCCCCCCCCCCCCCCCCCCCCCCCCCCCCCCCCCCCCCCCCCCCCCCCCCCCCCCCCCCCCCCCCCCCCCCCCCCCCCCCCCCCCCCCCCCCCCCCCCCCCCCCCCCCCCCCCCCCCCCCCCCCCCCCCCCCCCCCCCCCCCCCCCCCCCCCCCCCCCCCCCCCCCCCCCCCCCCCCCCCCCCCCCCCCCCCCCCCCCCCCCCCCCCCCCCCCCCCCCCCCCCCCCCCCCCCCCCCCCCCCCCCCCCCCCCCCCCCCCCCCCCCCCCCCCCCCCCCCCCCCCCCCCCCCCCCCCCCCCCCCCCCCCCCCCCCCCCCCCCCCCCCCCCCCCCCCCCCCCCCCCCCCCCCCCCCCCCCCCCCCCCCCCCCCCCCCCCCCCCCCCCCCCCCCCCCCCCCCCCCCCCCCCCCCCCCCCCCCCCCCCCCCCCCCCCCCCCCCCCCCCCCCCCCCCCCCCCCCCCCCCCCCCCCCCCCCCCCCCCCCCCCCCCCCCCCCCCCCCCCCCCCCCCCCCCCCCCCCCCCCCCCCCCCCCCCCCCCCCCCCCCCCCCCCCCCCCCCCCCCCCCCCCCCCCCCCCCCTCTTTAACAAGAGGTGCGAAGAGAACCATCAAAACCACAGAAAGCACTGGAGATAAGAAACCACCTTTTCACCTTTTCTTGTGAAGTCAACTGTGGTAGAGCAGAGAGAACAACGCAGCAAAGAGGGGAATACGAGAGAGCACGAGTTGTATGAGAGGGCAGAGATAATAGGTATGATGCGAAAGAGCACAACTGGCAGCGTTTGTAGCGGTCAAGAAACTCCTTGTCGCGCACTTTCAACTCGTCCATTCAAAGAGAGCGTCTTTCTCTAGAGCAGAACGATGTATAAATAGGAGGATTTTTAATCCAGGCTCTTAAGGTTTAGGGCCATTTCAAGCAATTTTTCCGCAACTGTAGAGTACTGTGGACAGACAATCCTGCCGAAAGGGCGAATCATAGACGAATTTGGAAGAGAAAGAGAGGTAATTGTAATGGGTACGAAACGGAAAAGGAACCAGCCATCCCATGTTCCAGGATATGGCTTGAACCCTGATGCAGTACATTTTCAGCTTCACTTACATTTTTGATGTTGTGAAGAATTCTCAATTTGTAGACACTTCCACACCATTTAAAGTGACCTCAATGTGAACTCTTCGCGTAATACTAAAATGAGGGTGCGGGTACGATTTCTGGGCGAAAAGTTTTGCCCATAACCCAGCACAACTAAAACCTTTTCTCTGTACCTGCGACTAAAAGGAGAATGTTTCCTCTTCTGCCCTAGATCCATTCAAAAGGACATTCTCGATTTTAGAAATATGGTCGCTGAAGATCTCACCTGGGATAGAACAGAGCAGTGTTCCGGAAAGAAGGCGTCGAAATCACCGCGAACAAATCGGTTACAGATGAGCGATTTACCGACACCTTTAACGCCTTTGACTGCCTCACGACCACTGACACCGATCACACTGACGGTGATCGTACGCTGCATCACAGCATGTTATCTGAAATCGAAAGGCGATAAATTTTGGAGCACTTGTCCCGGAAGTCGTGATGCAATCGATAATTCAATGAGAATACAAAAAATGCGGAATAGAAGACATGACGATTTCAGATAATGCAAGGAAATGGACACCGAAATTACACGGAGAGGGGCAGTAG